TGAGATAGGACATCTCTGGGAAGGATATTGACCTTTAAAAGTGTTAAAATATCTTAATTTTTATTATTTAACGAAATTGTATCATTTAATATGCACTAATATATATCGATACTTTGAACCTTGGAGAAACAACATTTCTTGTCGGCCTTTCTCATTCTATATCCTATTATTATTTTTTTTTTTCCAACACAGTCTTGGTTCATTTGATTTAATCCCAAGTAAGATATGCCATTATTATCATTATAAAGGAAATAGATTGTGGGGTTGGAAAATTGGTGAAGGTGTTCCCATCTTTCCAGACCATCCAAGGCCCTAGACTAGCCCCACATTACCAAGAAAATGTGTGTAAAGGCAAGATAAGCATATATTAATAATGTTAGGGGCGATTTGATAACAGTTGAAGTGACTGAACAGAATGATTTATTGTGTTGTCTTTTAGTAGAAAAGTGATTAAATAATAAAATATTCGAGGTTATGATAATCAACCCAAATTCAGTTTTAGTAAGGAATTCACAGCTTCCTTAATTACTTATTCACTGAAAATAAAGAAATAATTTGTTCAGTTGAGCCACTTCACCTCAGCTGTTACCAGAAAGTCCATTTAACATCTTAATCGTCAGTTACCTCTTTCTCTTTATTGAATCAACATCTTATTATATCATCCATCTTATTTCATGTAAAATTACTAAAAGGGAAGAAAAACTACTACTTTGCTTTTTCTTTTTTTACCTTTTCTGTTATTTGATTGATTATTAAGTTCAGTTGTATAACTAACAGCTATCAGAGAGGAGCAGAAAACCCCAATAACAATGAAGGGTATATATGAGGCTATGAGCCAAATTATGCTTTGTCCAGTTCACTATGTTAGCCACTCTAAAGAGAAGCTTGGGATTTATTCAGGGTTGTCACAAGTCTGAAACCCCAAGTTCAGGTGCAGCTCATTGTGAGTTTATCTGGGATTGGTTCACATAACTCCAGTACAGAACTTACTGGGTAGATTCAGTCCTGGATACTAAAATTTTGAACCCTAATCTTAATCCAATTCTTAACATCATACATATAATTAGTTGTGTGGCATGTGCAAAGATGTGTACAAGAGAGAGATATAGAGAGAAAGAGTGGGGCTGCAACTTGGGCAGGTCTAATCTGAGCTCAATCCACACCATCTTGAGGTTTTTGTATGGATTGGGGGCTTTGAGTTAAGCTTGTGTTAGAAAATTCAGGCCTGACCTAAACTTGGGTTGGGCTTGGGTATCTCAACCCCAACTGAGCCTGGCCCGGTCCAACCCAAGCCCACTCAAACAAACACAAATATGTAGTATCCCCTTCTATAGTTGAAAGGGTTAGAAGGGCTAGGGGCAGACTAAAATGGACATGTGCCGAAGTAGTTAAAAATGATTTAAGTACTTATAATATGAGGATGAAAATGGCAGTAAATGGAACAGAATGGCAAAACAGGATTTATGTAACCAATCCCACATGGTTGGGATAAGGCTTGTATATAAAATATGTATATGTATATTTGTCAATAAAATTTGTGTATATTTTCAATCCATTCTATAATTTTTATTCCTGTTAGTATAAATTTCAATGAAAGATGGCTGCACAAAAGATATCTGTAAATTGTTTTAAGGCCCTGTTCGTATTTCAGTAAGTTACTTATCTGGATAAATGCACTTACTCAGGTAATTGTTTTCTAGAAAAGATTTACCCGAGTAAGTACATTTACCCATGTTCTTTTATTTCCCATGTAAATAAGGTAATGGCCATTTTATCCACAAAAATGCATTATTACAAGGGGCATTTTTGTCCCTTTCAAGTGTTGGCAACTTTCCCCCAATTTGGACAAATAGCCTTTAGACAAACACAAAACAAAAGAAAATAAATAATTACAATGCAATATGTTGAGTTGAGCCCCTTATAATGCAACATAAAAATAAAATTAAATAAATTAAAAAAAATGAGAAATCAAGAACCCTCTTTGCCAAGAAATTATGAAAATGGAGAGAAATAAATCTTACTTTGTTGATCTAATATGCACGGTAGATAATGTGGTATTTAATTTAAGGTGTCATTTTCTTAAGAGGCACAAATATTGAGAAGATTCCGTATATATTTTCTGGTAAGATTCCATAATTTATACCACTAAATTGCTGGATGTGCAAATCTACCCTAGCTGCGCCTTTTCTTGTCTACCAAACAACCTCAATTCTAGGCTCAGGCTAGCTAGGGCTGCCGATGCTGAGTGCAGAGTGCTGAACCCCAAAATGAAATTCAGACATCCTCGTTTATAGCCCTAGATGAAGTTCAATCAATGCCACAAGCCAATCCATTCTCCACAGAAGTGTACAAACTTGAGATGTTTGGACTTCTTTATGCAAGCTACCTGCTACCGGCCAAACTAGTGTCTGTCTACTTTGCATATATCCTGGATCTACAAAGGGCTATTCTTAATTTCTTGATTCCTTCCATTGAAAACGTCGAGAGATTCCATGTAATCCTCCTCCCTCTATCACTGCACCATTTAGATGGCCATACTTGGGCAAGCATCTCTGGCCCACCCTGGCCCCCCTCCATCTCTCAGTCCAGTGATGAATTGATGCCCTGCCCTACCCTACCCCCCTTCTCTCTCTCTCTAACTAGTACTTAAAACAAGATGCCAATTAATTCTTCATGATATAGATAGAGCATATGTTGTTGATGCCTCCCCCATCTACAAATTCTACCTTAGATAAGTATTCAAAACTGAGTTGTAGGATGTGGTGGTAGTGTATCCAAATTTGAGGAATTGAGGTGAGAATGGAATTTGAAGGTGCCAGCTACCTTATTTGTTGTAGTAAGGTTTCTCACTGGTAGATGAGAGACTGATACTTGGGACCAAATTCCATACACATTGGATAGTGGGTTTAATAGGGATTTGGGAGAGCCCCCCCTGGATGTGTAGCCCATATGCCTATCAACTAAAATAATAATAATAATAAGAAAAGAAATAGAAAGGTGAAGATGAAATTCAATTCTACTAGTTTTGTCGTCCAAACACAGCCTAAGAAAAGCAATGAAACCGACAACGAAAAAAAGTTAGTTGTTTGGTGTTTGTCAAACTTAAACAAAGCATAGTGACCAAAAGAACAATAAAGGCATTTACTAGAAGGGGAAAAACTCAAGAGAATTATTCCTTATGACATATGCCTGGTGCCCCTCTAATTTATTGCTTATCAAAATATACACTTTCATATAGTAGTTTTCATTTTCACTTATTRCTGAGTTTCTTTCAGTGAGGGTTGAGCACTGTATCATGTTTGTAACTGGTTGACAGAAAAATAGTAAAAGTTAAAGTTGATAGAGCTCAGCACCCTATCAATTTACCAAGGACCCCATTTCTTGTTGAGCAATTAACCAAAAAAAAAAACTTTGAACCTATATCTCCATGTAATAAGTTTTTTTTTGTTTTTTTTTTTCATTTGAGAAATTTACTTAAATTCATCCTCATATCTGATAATTAATAAAACTTTCCCAAACCTTATTTTTTGTGGCATTACTAGCATCTTTTGCTTGTTGATTCCATTAAAAATTCTTTCATGAGTCCACCTTACTTGAAAAGTTTTAAAAATCTATTACTATTTTTCACTACAAAGTTGAGATATCCTCACTTCTTCCACAATAAAAYCTACTTGTTTTCTTAAATATAAGTTGGTATTTGGTATCATTGTTATTTATACCTGAAACATTTTGGATTGATCAATAGAAATTGGTGAGAATATATTTGGTCACATCATCACATATAAGATTCACTTCAACTAAAAAAATGTATGAGAATAATCATTGATGTTTAAGCAATAGTAGAAGCGTATAGAGTGTTGATTCAACTAAATTCTTTGCAATCAACCTTGTTTTGATATGGTGTTTTTTTTTTTTTGAATATCTTAACATGTTCAGAGCATGTAATTAACTTACTTATTTTCTCTATATTATGGATTCAAAATCTTGTCTTTGGCAACAATAGCTCTTGTTTTCATTCTTTTAAAGTCCAAATCAGATGATCGAAACATGTGATAAGTATTTCTTTCATTTAAAAATAACCATTTGTGATTGTTCAACAGGTGAAGGATTTATTTCTTTTGGCTGCATGGAACTACACAACAGGGTAGCCCATTCTTCAAACCCATAACCCCTCAACCTTGTAATCGATCCCAATTAATTGGAAACCTTATCAATCTAAGACTAACCCTAAATATGGACCCTGACTTAGATCCAAATTGATATTAAAACCCAAATTAACCAAATTTCTATATAACCCATACATTGCATAAATTTAGTTGGTGGTTATGGTTAGAAAACAACACAAATCCAAATCACATCAAACACATAAAGCAAAAGCCGATCAGCAACAAACATTTACCAAATGGCTTTATTAACAACTATCAGCAGTAAATGAAAGGGCCCCACTTAACCCAAACCCAAATAAATGAGACAGTTGGGTGTGACCTACATGTCCCAAAAATAGTAAAAAAGAAAAAAATAAATAAAGAAAGAAAAAATAGTAAAATACAAGAATAGCAATAAAATAAAGAAAGAAAGAAAAAATAGTAAAATACAAGAATAGCAATAGACAAGTAGTGATCATCACACATCTTTTGCTAGCATACGCATCTTAGTATACAAACAAAGTAGCAATAGGACGAATACAAAAATTGACCGTTGTGGGATTCACGCTGTCCAAATTACAAAAAAAATGTAGATTATTCATCTACTAGATCCTTTTCCCCCCTTAAAAAATGGTTAATTAATCTCTCTTTGTGGATATTACCAAAAAAAAAAAACTGTGGAGCAGAAATCACTGAAAAAATCTGGAGCCTCGGCCTGTATGCCACCCCATTTCCCAAAATCTCCAACTGGGGTCCTCTGGTATTAGAAAATTATTGTTAATTTTCATTAAAAATATGGAAGTTAACTGATTCCTACTCTGCTTTCTTTAGCCATTCAAGACTAACCACTGAGGATAGAGATGGTGGGTGCATTAGATGCTGTTTGGAGGATATCCCAATCATAAGCATGAGCATCAGATAAAGTTTTTAGTTTGGGGTTTGTGAAAATGACTCCCATCATTCAATTCCATGTGATGTGCTTCTTCTCCCATCTCCATCTCCCACCATCCCCACATTCATCCAATCTCGTTTTGTTTGTTTATTTTTTATTATAATACGCATACCTGGTATTTAGAAAAAGTAATTGTTATTTGTGCATTTTAGTATTGTTTATTTAGATTTGATGGGATTTTGAGATGGAATTGGAAAGAAAACAACGTAACAAACTACTACTGTTAAAACCCAATTCACTATTAATTTTCATTTCTCCAGGTCCAGGTATTGGTGGTGGTGTTGTTAATCTGCAGCTTCTTCTTCTGCTCTACTTGTTCTGGGTGGTGAGGTTGGATTGGAAAGAACAAAACAAGCAGGAAAGAGAAAGCAAACAAGAGAGAGAGAGCGAGCGAGCGAGAGCGAGAGAGAGAGAGAGAGTAAAGGCTGAGAGGTGGTCAGATGGAAGCGTCGCTTTATTACCGCTTTATCAGATTGGCAAAGAAGGGAATCTGATGGGTTATTGTGTTCTCGTTGACCGTCTTCCCTTCGTTGGAGGCCGTGTTGTGAACAACAACGACAACAACGCCACCACCCCTTGACACCCTTTTCTCTCTCACTCCTCTCATTCTCTCTCTTTCCTTCTTTCGTCTCGTTTTGAGAGATTACTATGTAGGAAAGAGAGAGGGAGAGAGAATCTGATGGATAGAGATAGTATATAGAGTGGGAGAGTGCGAAAAAAAGCGAGAAATGTTGGCGGTAGTCGGGGGCGAAGGTGGAGGAATTGCAGAAATGGAGAAAGATTTCGACTCTAAGCTTCGCATCCAGAACCCTAACGGTGGTGTCCAGCGATCTAAGAGCTTTGCTTTCAGAGCCCCTCAAGAGAATTTCACCATCCAAGACTTCGAATTGGGCAAGATCTATGGCGTTGGTTCCTATTCTAAGGTCATTCTTCTTCCCCTTTATTTTTCTGTTTTTTCTTCTCTTTTGCTGGATTCCTGGGCAATGATGGTCTGATTTAAATGAATGCGGTATTGGGTATTTTTCTTCTTAATGCCTTTTTTTGTAGAGAAAAAAAAAGTAATGATTTTCTCATGTTGGTCTTTAATGGAACCTGTTACTTCACTGTTATTGATGAAAGTAGAGTTTCTTGAATGTTTGACGAGCTCAGCTGAGGCGACAAAAAGGGGGGATCTATTTTGAAGGGGCTCTTTTTAGCTATACAATTGGAGTAAGTTTGAAAAAGATTGTGCCATGTTGTAAAAACAATCTAGTCGGGGGTCTATATGATCTAGCAAGTTAGGACGGTTGCTTTTGGATATTCAACTTCGAAGTTTGAACAGTCGAGAACTAACATTGAAAGAAGTCTATTGATTGATGAGTAGAAAGGTCAAGGTGGAGGGACCTCGATATTTCATTGGTTATGGTAGAGTTGGTTCTGACCACAACCACAATGGTTGTTGTGAAGCTTAAACAAGGCGAATCCTTCTGGTGTCATGCCAGGGAGAGCGTTTGAAGAGGACTGAAAGTGGATGGCCTAGTTTATACACGTCCTACGTGTCTCAGATGAACAGTTTCTCTTGTATACCCCACCCTTTCTTTTTTCCTTGTCTTTGCAGCCTTCAAGTTACATTTTTACCTTCCTAGTTTAGAGCTATGTTTGATGTGATGGCAAAGGCTGCAATGCGGTGATTCAGCTTAACTTCTTTTCTTCCCATAAATTATGAGAAGAAATTTGTCACCAGCATAGTTTCACTACAGGAGTGCAGGGTGTCTAACTCTCCCAATCTTTTTACAATTGGCTATTTTATCTCTTCAATGCCATTTTGTAACATTTAACCTTTGATTCTCACCAGATGCCGAAGTGCTGCAACCATTTCAGCAAGTGTTCTTTGATGATGTTTTATGAGGCTTCCTCTATAGTAATTTTATTATTGTCTTAATGTTCTATCCATCACTTTCAATTATTTTTGTTCTTTTTTTTTTGTTTTATCATTATTCTTTTCCACATGGATGGACTACTTGGTTCTTAGTTTTATAGAGCTATGAAAATTTCAGGTCGTCTTTTTGGGTAAAAAGTTTCTTAGTTTTGATCACCTGTAAATGCCTGAAAAATCTATAGAATCTGAAAATTTAGCATTTACATGCAAAGGAAATAGCTTAATGTCTATGAGTTAAAATTGAACCCTTATTCATCCTTGTTTTGATGGTTGCATAAAAATGTAAACAATTAAATACATTATGTCTGCTCTCTGCTCTGAATCCCTATTTTCTGGTATATCCTTTTTCTTTGCCTGATCAAATACACTACTGTATTAAATGCTAGTAGCAGTGATGGGAGTTTTTAGATAGATGAGTTGTGAGAATAGAGTGAACCTTTGGGTGCCACAAATTGGTGGTGAAATAATAGTTAGCTGACTAAGGAGCCATTTGGTAACAACTGAAGTGGCTGAACAGAATGACTTGTTGCTTTGTCTTTTGGTGAATAAGTTACTTAAGTAGGTTGTCAGCTCCTTTATGAATAAATGGCATGATGTGTCAATTACAATAACCCTAAGTGTTTTATTATATGACTATTTTAAGCCATTCAATTCAGCCATGTAAGTCGTTATCAACGGCCCCTGAGATGGTTTGGGAAGTAGAAGATAAAAAAACCAAGGAATGTTCCAAACTGGAATTATTCAGTATAATTGAAGGTTCTAAAAGGCCAGGGGGAAGGTTGGAAAAGACTTGGGAACATGTAGTGGAAAAATATTTTGGCAGTAACTTCTTTAATTAGAAAAAAAATACTGTAAATAGAGAAGAATTGAGAAAGGCCATTAACAAATGTGGGTCCCACCTATCTGGGGTCTTGGGAGGGGTGGATTGGATATGGACCTAATCTTTGGCACATTTTTTTTTGCACATAGTGGCTGCTCTCAGACTTGAACCTATTCTCTTGTACTTGTCAACCCAGGAATTTACAGTTAGCACCAATTAAAATTAAGTAGAGCAGAATTGAGAGGTGGAATTCATACTGCCAACTATGATGCCTGGATACCTGTACAGCGGTACTGCATCATGTCAGATACTTACAATTTTTGGTATGAAATTCATAGTTGACAGTGCATCCAGTCTTGTTCTTGCTGTATCTGAGTAGCATAGGCTGCCAAACTAGTAAAGGTGGGCTCAGGTAGGTGACAATGAAAATATGATCCTAGCTAGTGGAAGAATTATTGCTCCTTTCAGCCATATTTTAAACATTGACGTTGTTATTTAACATAAACTGTTTCATATACATTTTGATCCTGTACCCATTAGTTTCTTGACATTCCCAGGAATGGAGGAATTGTCATTTTATTTTATTCACTTCCATTCCTCCTTGCAGGTAAGTTGTAATTATTTACTTCTTGAAAAAAATCATTTGTTTCCAAAAGAATTACTTGTCCTGATTGTCCAAGTTACAGTATGAGTTAGTTCATTTTATTGCATGTTAATCAGTAAATTTTATGTTTCCTATGATAAAAATCCATTATTAGCTTGGTGACAAAGAGGCACTTCTTTACTTAATTGACTTTTGATTTACTTGACTAACCTTTGTTTCCCTTCCATGTTTAATCATAATGCTATATAATTATAATATTGTGATTGTTTTGTATTTTTCTTCTTTTTCTTATTTCATTTTGGAACATTTTTTTGTTGTTGAGAAAAAGGTAATTTTCATTTCAAGTCAAAAAAGGGGGAAGGGGAATGTACAACTAATTACTTGCAATTCCCTACTAAATTCATGTTTCTTGCATGTACTCTAACATGGATTACAACTTATTTGTCATTATGATCCATCCTTTGATACAACAGTCACAAATACGCATGCATGAATTGAAATGTCTGACTACAGCTGCTCTATGTATATTTTTTATAAGCACAGTTTCTTCACATATATCATACCCTGCTGTTCCTTTATGTTACTCTAAGCATCCAAAAATTTCTCATCAGGTTGTGAGGGCAAAAAAGAAGGATACAGGCAATGTGTATGCTTTGAAGATTATGGACAAAAAGTTCATCACAAAAGAAAATAAAACCTCATATGTGAAGTTGGAACGTATTGTACTTGATCAATTGGATCATCCTGGCATTATCCGGCTATTTTTCACATTCCAGGATACCTTTTCTCTATGTAGGTATTCTGGCTTTATCTATCCTATATTTCAGATTTCATCTACCCCATGCTCAGTTTGTCATCCTTTATTGTTTATTTTGTTATGTCTGCCTATTATGCGTTGTTGGGTTTGTTATCTGAACTGATTCTATTTATTATATTTTGAAGACATGGCACTTGAATCTTGTGAAGGTGGAGAACTCTTTGACCAAATAACCTGGGTAAGTGGAATCTAAGTTCTTTGGAGCCTACGGTTCTTTCAGTGCGACAATTCTTGCCAGATCTGTCATTTTTTGGTACCAATTAATATGTATGGGTCCAGAAAGGTCGTCTATCGGAGGATGAGGCTCGCTTCTATGCAGCAGAAGTTGTAGATGCTCTTGAGTATATACATGGTGTAGGATTGATCCATCGAGATATTAAGGTATTTCTTGATAAAAAGCAACATTCTGTTTCATTGGTATGTCAAACATGCTAACAATCTCTACTGGCAGCCAGAGAACTTGCTGGTTACTGCAGAAGGACATATCAAAATTGCTGATTTTGGTAGCGTAAAGACTATGCAGGATAGCAAAATCACAGTCCTTCCAAATGCATCTTCAGGTAAGGTTATTGTACTGCCCTAAGGAACAGAGATCTTTGGTGAAAGATCCAGTAATAGGCTATTTTTCCTTGATGAATTCCAGATGATAAATCTTGCACATTTGTGGGAACGGCTGCATATGTTCCACCAGAAGTCCTTAATTCTTCTCCGGTAACTTTTGGGTAAGGGTAACTTTCTAAAGCTGGACATGAATATCAGGCAATTGTTTCATTGTGACAATTTGGCCTTTTCATGACTTGTACTACTTATCAATTCTATATTCTTTTCAGAAAAACTTGTTGTTCTTTTAGTTATATATGATGACTCATCTGCTCTTTTGTATATATGTTGAAACAGAAATGACCTTTGGGCACTTGGATGCACCTTGTATCAGATGCTTTCAGGAACTTCTCCCTTCAAAGATGCAAGTGAATGGCTCATTTTTCAAAGAATCATAGCCAGAGATATCAGATTTCCAGACTACTTCTCTGCTGAAGCTAAAGACCTTATTGATAAGTTATTAGTAAGTTAAAAGCACCTACAGGTTAGATTTTGTTTAGTTTGAGTTGTTAAGACACACTTATGTTTGTCCAAAATACTACTTTTCTTCTCTATCTTTTGTTCTTTTTGGATCTTAACAATGTCATTCATATTGAGCTTTGCTTTGCTCGCCAGCCCGCCCTCTCTCTCTCTCTCTCTCACACACACACACACACAGCTCTAGATGCCGTATTTGCAATACTGTGAACTTTGTTATCATTTCTTCAATCTATTGTTTGCAATTCAGACTTAAAGAGTAGTGGCAGAAGTTCCTTTCCATCTTTAGTTTTATTGACAATTTTTTGTTTCCTAATTCCTTTGTAACCATGTTACCAATTTAAGGCTGCGTTTGGATTGTTGGAGTGGAATTGATTTGAATTTTGGGTCCACTTTAATTTCATGGAAATGAAATGACTACACCTACAGGAGTAATTTGAATGCCACTAAAAACAGAATTAAAGGCTTTTTTTGTTCTTTGTTATCTTTGAATTCCATGACACTGTAAGAAGTACCCAGTGAATGGAAAGAGAAATCCATGGAACTAAGAAATCCAATTTCACTTCCAGTTTCCAATGCCACCCTTATCCAAAAATAATCTTAATATTTACTCATTTTAATGCTTGAAGGATGAGCAACATTGCTTGGAATTTTTTGTTTTCTTATTTACCAATTAGTGTTTTTCCCCATCTTTTTCTTCATACTCATTTGTTAAAGTTTCTTATTAAAACCCATTAATGTGAGCCCTTCTAAGATATACTTTGAATATACAATGTTTTGAAATGACAGTTTTCATCATCATTTAAATAAAACATGCACTCCTTTCAACTTCAAAATTCCTTCACTTTTTCCTGTATGATATTCACTTGGATGGCTGAAGGAACACGTAACAGCAGGCAATATTGGATATTCCTTTTGACATTTGAATGCATAGTTTTTTTTTTTTTTAATTTCTTTCTGGCATTATATAATTTATTGCTCATTTTGGTGGAAGGAGCATAAACATTTAAATATTATCTTTCCAAATATCTTAAATCTGGTTATCAAAATTTGAGAGTTCTCCACTGTATTTCCACTAATTGATGCAAGAGATCATCAGATCTATCATTCTTTAACAGTTGATTGCTTATAAGAAATTGATTTCCATAAAAAAGATGCAAATTCTGTAATGCATGTCTTGTTGTTAGGATGCTTCCAAGCTTTCATTTCTATCATGTTTAAATTTCACTGTTTTTACCACCCTGCAAAGATTAGTTATCAAAGGTCGTCTGAATAATTGTTCCCCCTAATGATCCATGCAACTCTAATGCAGGATACAAATCCAAGAAAAAGACCAGGTGCTGGACCTGATGGCTATGCTGCACTCAAGATGCACCCATTCTTTAAGGGTATTGACTGGAAAAATTTAAGAGCGCAAATACCTCCAAAACTTGCATTGGAATCTAATGTATGATATTGCATCTTGATTCTTGATTCTTGATTCTTGAATTGTTTTCAGAAAAAAAGAATGCAATTAGGCTATTGAACATGGTTCAAAAGGAAAAATGAATCACACATTTGTACTTGGTTTCAGGTGGTTGAGGCTAATGATGGCCAAGAATCTCCATGGAACCCTTCACACGTTGGAGATGGTTCAGTCAGAAATAATGATGGCAGTAGTGGTGCCACATCATCTTCTGAAGCAACCGCTCATGTGACTAGACTTGCTTCAATTGACTCTTTTGATTCAAGATGGTACTTGCCTAGCTTGTCAACTTATACTCTTGTAGGAGTTAGAAGTTAGAACATGACAAAAACAGATCAAATCTTTCCTTACATAGATGTATACTTCATTTGGGGGGGGGGGGTGTATTGAGTTCTATCCAAAGCCAAATCTGTAAATCCACCCTGGTGGCTGTTAAGATACCTTGTTTCCACTCCATGCTTGGCCAACTTAATCTCCTATTGGGTGGATTTTTACATCTGGTAAGTTAGTGGTGGATCCACCGGTTCATTGGAATTTCATCATATGGATCTAGAAGTGCTCTCTCTTGTTTTTGTTTTTCTCCCCTGTATCTTGTTTCCCATCCTCAAAGCCAAATCTGAGGGAAAAATGGCGACCTCTGAAGGTCCAAGGAAAATGGCAATTCCAGGACGAGGAGAGAGAAACAGAAGAGGGAGGTGAGTCAGTGATCGGAGATTTGCACCGCCGCAGAGAGAGATCTGGGTAAGGGGAAGAGAGGAGAATTCAGGTCTTTGGTCCCCATTTGGGCATGGGGCCCCTATTTGTACTATTTTCCCTTTTGATTCTTAATGAACTTTCCAGAATAATTTTTAAGGATTTGGTTTACCATCCTGTATTGGACCGGGCTGGATCAATTTGGGTTCAAACTGGACCAACTGGGTTTTCGGTCTTTTATAAGTCAATGGTCTTACAGTTGTTGTTGTTATATTATTATTAAATTCTTAAACACTTGATCTGCATGTTGAATCCATTCATTTGCCATAATCTACAGGCAACAATTTCTGGATCCTGGCGAGTCTGTCATTATGATATCAATGGTTAAGAAAATACAGAAATTAACAAACAAGAAGGTTCAGCTTATCCTCACTGATAAACCCAAGTTGATATATGTGGACCCAGCAAAGTTGATGGTTAAAGGGAACATAATATGGTCTGATAACCCCAATGATCTTAGTATCCAAGTGTTGAGTCCCTCACACTTCAAGATTTGCACGGTATGCTCCATTCCTTTCATTTTTTCTTTCTGTGCATTTTTTTTGTCCATCTGAATTAGGTCTTTGGAATGTTTAGCCAAAGAAGGTAATGTCATTTGAAGATGCAAAACAAAGGGCATGGCAATGGAAGAAAGCAATTGAAGGCCTTCAGAACCGGTGATTTCTGGTGTGATTTTGAGAAGATTCTTTGGATGTTTTGATGAGATTGAGTAGGAACATGAAGGTTCTAAAAGAGTTGGATGTCACAATACGTATTTATTAGAAGAAAGAGAACTTGTTGCAATGCAGCATTGTCAAAGGGTACACTGTTGCCTTCCATCCCTCCCTCTTGGCCCCTGGAACCACACATGTGATGGTGGAATTTTGGGAAGCCTAACACACTCTGGAGGTTCTGTCCGTTGAAGGACTTGTTTCTTGTATTAAAAAAAAGACAGTAGCTACTACAAATGGAAATTTCATTACCCCAAGCAGTGTGTACAGTATTGAGTATATTATCTGTAGGTTTTTGTGCCAAATGACGAAAATACAACTGAGTACTTTCTTGGGAGGAAGCCCTCTTCATATGGTTTCCACCTTTCATTACATTAGATGATTCAGTCCCCTTGATCTATTGGGTGATATCTCATCTCACTAATCCAGATTGTCTAGGGCAAGAGTTAAATCAGAAGATAACCGTAGTTTCTTACTTTCTTATTCTATCATTTCTCCTTTTAGAAGAAAATAGATTTTTCATATTAGAAAAGCTTGACTTACTATTCATATAAGAAGCACAAACTAGGTTTCTATTGTTTTAGCTTGTCGAATATGCTGCATCTCCAGTCCATAACCATTCAGAGTTTAGACAACAATCAAGACGACATTGATTCTATTGAATGAATTAATGAACAGAGGAGTGTGAAACCAATTGTAATACGAGTACAACACCTCTGAAGCTGCAATGGACATTGTTCAAATCCTTGTTTCTTTTTTTTTTTTTTTTCTGAACTTTTTGCCAGGTGGCCATGCCTTGACAGTTGTTAAAATATTTATCAAGTGCTCATTTAACATGCTTACTTTGTTGTGCCTACTAAATCCCGTCTGCTATGTCTGTTAGGTATTAACTAGAAAAAGTTATTGCACACAAGATATTATTTATTCTGATGAAACATCTTCCCGGGCCAGTGCTAATTATTCATGTGATCTGAAGGAATGGAACAGGTCTACTTTTGAAATTGATTACATCGGTTTGGCTTTGTAGGTGTTTGGAAGGAGTGCGTAATTATGATCAATATAAAACTTCACTACAGTTCAGTTTTGCGTGCGTTTGGATGGAGTGGAGTTTTATGTCGATAATTGATGTAAAACCTCATTAAACATAAAGTTTTACATTGATAATCAATGTAAAAACTTTACACTCTTCCACCCATTGCATTTTTTTCAAAAAGCAAGTCACTTTCATGGTTCAATGTAAAATGTTATACACCGATGACATTTTACACTGATTCCAAACGCAACCTTAGGTTTTCTCATCTCAGAAGGCTGGTAGCGGTACTGGTACTGTACTTAGTATGGGCTCATTTGGTTCACGGGAATAAGGGTCTGAAATCGGTCCAACTGTTTGGTTGGGTGGAATCAGAACCCCATCTCCATTCTTGATGGAATGACATTCTTCCCCCATTTGAGAGAATGACCGTTCCTTCACCTTGGGAAATGAAGTCTCATTCCAGTTGATTCTAATTCCTGTTTGAACCAAATGGATTATAGGAATAAACCATTCTGATTACAAATCCAAAGAATTTTATTTCAATTCTGACTTAGGAATGGCAACGGGATGATGATCATATTTTCCATCCGACTTCGATCCCCATCAGAGATAAAAATTGTCCTCCATCCCTGATCCCCGACGGAGGTGGGTTCCCTGTGGGGACCCAAATCTCCGAATTTTTTAATTAACAGAATTTTTGAAAAATAAGTTTACTTAAAAAAAAGAAAATTTTAAAATATAAATCGAGATTGGTGCAGAATGAGGACTTCATTCCCTATTCCCGATCCTATCGAGTTGAAGAGATCAATCGAATACCGAGCGAAGATGGAGAAAATTGTCATCCCTATTCTGACTACAAACCAAATGGATCCTAAATTTATAATCCTTCTGGAGTATCAAATTTAGCCATAGTCACGTTACCATTGGATTGAAAATTGAAAAAAATGATCCGTCTGATTCTGGATTCTACAGATAGACTTTTGACTAGTAAAAACCACAAATTAATATTTAAAAGCCCCCTAATGGCTGAGTACCTATTTCGTTAGTAAATAAAATGATTTCAACTAATTTTAGGCTTTTGGTTGTAGTTCCGGTCATAGGCAAGCATTAATTGGATAATGACAGCTCCCATTTTATAATTATCTGGATACTCTTATATCCAACAGCCCCGTTAGCGACGCACTTTTCAATTTTAGGGCAGTAAATAGATCGATTGGGATCAGGTTCAGCTATATCTTCATTTGCATTTGATTATAAAATTTCTATATCTACATCTGCATCTGTATTCATTATCATGCTAGAATTTGAATCCAATTTGGATTTAATCTACAATTATCTTATTATTTTTAAAATGATTAAAAAGTTAAAAATATTAATTATTTTTAATTTGTATATTGTTAGATTTTGATTTTAATTGAATTGGATGGATTAAATCTATGTCGGATTATTAATCATATATAAGTTCTAACATCCAAATCTAGGATAATCAAATTTGAAATAAAATATTTTCCGAATCTATTTGATAGGTGTCCATCACTCAATGCAACCTATCCATCTAAATTTGACCGGGTTAGAATTCAACCCGCCACACAGAAAAGGAAAGAAAAGAAAAGAAAATTATAACTTGTGAGAGGTGGGTTTAGACTATTGACAAGTGAAGTCAAATGTGTGACGTACACTTAAAACTGAAAATTAATTTCCCATAGATTATGGGCCGTCCATCTTGACCAGATAGATCTATTTAAATCAGAAGCCAAATGAACTTATGAAAGTTGAAACCATGGCAATGAAGAAGATAGCAAGTAGTGTGGTGGTGGCTTTGCTGAGCTCTCTGGTTGTAGTCTGCACGTCGGCCACCCCCTTGAAGAGGAGGAGATCGCTGGGTATAATTGGGCAGCTGAACCACGAAGGGCCTTATCTGGGTCTGCTTACAGTCTACCCACCTGAAGAGGAGGCCTTCTTTGCTACCGGAGCTTTTGAGCCTCATCCAAGGCATCCTTTCATTGATCTATCAGGTTTGTTTTCTCTTGCTCGCCAAATTTCTACGCCTTTTCAGTCTCAGCTATGGTTTTAAAAACTGGACCGGATCAGAAGGTTGGACTGGTTAATCCGGGAACCGGTCATGTAATTGATTCCATTTTACTTTAAAATCGTTTTTTGGCCAAAAACTATTGATTTGATCAACAATCTACTAAATTGGGCAGTTGAATCATCGACCCAGACAATAGTTTTTAATCATTTTTTTATTATTTTTAAGTCAGAACAGGCCGTTTATTCGAATCGAATGATCAGACCATTTGACCCAGGAACCAGTCCCAAGATGGTTCTGTGTCCGGTCCGGTTTTTAAAACCTTGGTCTCAGTAAAATGAGTTATAAGCCTGAGTCAAAGGATTACTGGTTTTTCAGGCAGGCGATTTCGTATAGGCAAGATACACGGTAAGAGAGTTGTCTACGTGAGATGTGGGATCGGAATGGTACTTTTCCCTTTTCCCTTTATACAAATACAAAGCTAGCTAGTAAATTAAAGGTCCGTTTTGTTTTTATAGTTAGAATCGGAATTGAAATCTCTCAAAATCAGAATAGTTTATTCCTCTTACCTGTTTGATTCAGACTGAAATTGAATGAGAATCGAAATCGGTTGGAATGGATTCTTATTCCCAAGAGAAGGGGTGAGAATGGCCATTCCCTTAAATAGAGGAATGTCATTCCACCAGAAATGAAAATAGGATTCCAATTCCCTTCAACCAACTCCACCCAAATGGTTGGAATCGGATTCTTAGACCGTTCCGACGGACTAAATGGATCCTAAATGAAGTGTTTTGTTGTAGGGTTTCGTTCAGTTTTGAGGTACCCAATAGACCCATTAATGCTTGGAAAATGAATTAATTTTGGGTCTTTTTTTTTTTTGAAGTTGAAATTTTCAGCTGCAAAAATCAATTAAAAAGCTTTGGTTCCAGAAAATTTTACTTATCCGGATTTAGAGTTGATTCTTAGAATCACAAAATTAATTCTATGAAAGCATGGAAAATGCAACCAGAACCACAAATGAATGGGTAAATTTTCACTTATAAATATTCCCATAAGTAGGCCCATAACATGGTGGGTCCTGATCCTGTAGATTGAAGTCTCCCCTGTTTGGTTGAGCTTTTGCAAAATCACATAGATTCTGATATAATCAATTGCTGACCCATTTAAGGAATGGGTCTATAAGTTAACGTCCAAGCCCAATACCTCTTTAAGTGGAGGAGCCCAAACACATCTAAATTCATGTAGGTCTGTGGACTAATTAAAGCCCAGTATAGCCCTTCCAGTTCCAGCTTTTGGGGTATCGTCAACAGATATGGAGAGCGTGTCCGTAGTGATGGTGGGTCTCTTATTGTTCTGCAATTACATGGCTACGTCCTTGGTTAATTAATTATAGCTAGTAACTGATCTCTGGTGCGTTACAGACAAGCTTGTCAAATGGTTTCCCCGTGATTGTCATCAGAGGGCTATCGGACTTAGCGGGAGGACAAACTGGACGGAATACAGTTCAGCTATTTGGGCCTCTGGCAGCTCTCAATACTGCCAAAGTTGTCATTGGGTTCATCAAATCCCTGCCATGAATGCGTCTGTGTAGCATCTGTATGATAGAGAACTCCAGAACCCAGATCAGTACTCAGATAAGAGGACGTCTTAATGTAGCTGCTTATGATCATCCAGCTGAAAGAGAGATTATTGTTTATAGGGACGTATTAAGCAAAATGACAGCACACAGGACACAAATTTCCATCTTTCTATTGGTGTTTGATGAAGTATCCAACCAAATCTCACTTGGAGGGAGTACTGTTTCTATATGCACAGACTAATGTCTCTGAACTTAAAAACCTGAAACCTCTCAGAGTTGTGGATTATCTATGACTAATAAAACCAGTAAGCACATTGGTGGGAGAGGACTGTTTCTATCCTCTATGGCGTCACTGCTACGATAGAATAGATGCGGTGCGGTGGTGCTACTATAGCTTCACAGGTTTGAGGCATCTATCTCATCCCTACGTGGCTGAACAGGATGTAGCAATGAAATCCCTATTTCATATCTGAGTTGCTACTGAGCAGTGAGCACATGTCATCTCCTGAAAGTGAGACGTTGAATCTTTCGTTTTTTAACTAAAAACAGGAGCTGCCCATAACTCGGTGCAGTTCTTGTTACAATATATAGTTAAACCTCCTGGTGGACATTGATTGAATTATAACAAAACCTCTCGAGGGATTCAAATTTTTGCAGAATTCTGGGGATGTGAGAAAGTGCATCCAGAAAACAAAAACCAGTTATATATGGCTTAGTCCAACATATGAGCAGCTAGCCAACCTCATTGATCTCTATGAAAGTTGAATTTGTTCACAAACTGAGCAATTATTCTAAGGATAGCCAGGCATGACAACCCAGAAAGGTGGTAAGGCCGGATTATAGTCATCGGAATTGAAAATGCAGTTGCTGCACTCAGCAATCTGGGGGTGGTTTGTTGAGCCATTTAACTTGTTAGAGCTGCGACTAGCAACAGATGCGCTCTCGACAGTCTCTTCGGCAGAGCCTTCTGTATGAACTGTGGAGCCTTGCTTCGCTGTGGCTCGCTCCTCAAGCTTAGCTCTCAGTTTCATAACCTACACAGTTGCAGCACATTAGTCATCAACTTATAACTAAGATAATAATCAGCGTATGAGAGGACAGAGGAGAGTGCGCGCATAGGACAAATCTGCATGGGCTTTGCAATGGAATAGAAGACAAATTCTGAAACTTCCAAGGGTGATAGTTAATACTAGAAATTAAACTGGTTTAATTTGATGAAAAGTCAGAGAGAGAGAGAGATTAAGTTGTGTTAACCTCTTCTTGGAGCTTCTGTTTTTCCCTGGAGATGACATCAAACTCATGCTTAAGGGCGCCGTAAACACGCTCTAGTTGTTTAGCTTTCCACCTGGCACGTCTGTTTTGGAACCAAACAGCCACCTGACGAGGCTGAAGACCAAGCTCTCGAGCCAACCTCATCTTCCTTTCAGGTTCCAGCTTCATCTCCTCCTGGAAGCTCCTCTCTAATGATTTTATCTGATCACCCGTCAAGCGTCTTTTCCTGATCTCCTGGTTATTATGATTACTATTATCATGGTTGTCCTGATTATCGTTTCTCTTGTTACTTGATGGAATCGCCGATGATCTCTCCACCATTTCTTCCGCCGGACAACGCTTCATCTCCATTCCTAAGAATAAAAAAAGAAAAATATTATGAAGATATGCTTGCAAAAGGGCCCAAGTTAATTAAGAAGAGGTGCAATATAATACATTGCTCTCACCTGCAAATGGGTGGTCATAACTGGAGTCAAATAAGAAGGTGAAAGTGTGGTCTACTGCTCGAGATGCAGAGGATCTAAAGTTGCAGTTCCAATCCATTTTTGGGTCGCCCATCTGGTTAACTAGAATACTAGGTCGAAATCGAGCCCATCTCCATCGATCACATATGGGGTCGAGTTGGTACAGATGAACTGGGATTTAGAGTGAGTAAGATTGTATTAAATAGAAGGCCAGAGCATGGCACAGAGAGAGAAAGAGAGAGATGCTTGGATTGTTTTGGTTTGGGGTGAGACAACATTACAAAAGCCGATTGGTGACAGGAGTACAGTAGGAGTGACCTAGTGAGAATAGGTCTTTTTGTACTGCATCCACGCGAGAGAGAGAGAGAGAGAATATATAGCAGAAGTGTCGGGTACGTACAAGTTGGAAGGATCAAGGTAAGAAGGAGAGACATCAGAGGTCGCCGTCTGGTCCCCCAGGCCTAATGCCCCTTAGCTTGAAGCTGACAAATATGCCTTCTCTATCTCACGCCTCGGCCTGACTCCTGCCTACTGTTACTTCCCCTCTGCTCAGTGTTCACTTCGTTTTTACTCTTATCCCCATCTCCATAGATGAATCCAAAATCCAAGTAGTATTATTGGACGTGCGGGGGGAGGTCGATCGTATTCGTAGGCATGAAACCAAGAGCAAGAGCAAGGAACTAAAGACAAGGCCGGGTCCCAAAGAAAGAAGCTAAGGGCCCCATCTTCTTATATATCCTTCTCATTCAACTCACAACCAAGTTGTTGTATCCATAGTTCCATACGGTAGAAATGTGAAGTCTCTCTCTCTCTCTCTCTCTCTCACCACGGTGTAATTTTATTRACTATGCACTAATCAATCAAACAGATGGAGATGGGGGGTGTTTGGCAACGATATCAAATTAGATTGGGGAGCCAAATGGTAGTGGGTTACACATAGAAAGGCACTCATTTACCTTACCGAACCCACCCCTTAATGCAGCTGGCGCACAGAGGCCAAGCCTGGAGTGGGTTGTGGGGCAACACTGAGGAACACACCCAAGACCAAGAGCCATGCCTAGGAATGTAGCTCACAGTAAACCCCATGAAGCCCTTGGTGGTCCTGGATGATATATTGTGTATTGCTTGCTAACAGCAGTATTCTCTGTAACTAACCCATTTCTCATAAAGTGCATGTGCATGAATTCAAGCCTGCTAAAAAAGTCTCCTAATAATATTGAACCAAGGGGACCAACTGGGAAAAAAGGATCCATGTAGAAGAATGATAAAACTTCAGAAAGGGTACTGAGCTGACCTTGATGAGGACCATCATTTGGGGCTAGAACTAGCACCAATCCCGTATGGTGTATGCTTCACTTCAGGTTTGAATTTCTGGCACACCAACACTAATGCACGTTTGACTGGTTAGATATGCCTGACCACTGAGGCCTTTCTAGCCCWGCAGAGCTCAACTAGATTGGGGCCTCCTTGCCTCTATGTCCAGAGGCAAACAGGGGGAGTCTTAGCTATGTAACATACTCCATCCAATTTCCCAGTTTGGGCAAATATAACTTGTGATTCACAAATATTTACATATAGTACTGTGTGATCAGGATTCATGGGTCTTGACTCCGAATATATTACAAGGTGCCAGAAATGCTCAGAGGGGCTATCCCATCAGTTCAGCAGTTGAGACTAAGCTCTATACTAATTGCACATAAAAAATTAGATGCAATTGTACGTTTTCAAATATTATTTCATGTCAATACTTCAAGTTGAAAGCTAAAACTCATCGCTTGTGTTGTGCCATGTGTGCTGCTGTAATCGGCATACAAGTCAACTCAAATAATTGGCCTACTGTTGCATGAAAAGAAAAAAGCCATCGATGCAGAAGACTACTGAACCAGAAAATTGCTCAAACGCATGCTTAGAAAACTATTCTCCATTTCTTTTTTCCTTAATGGTAAAAGAACAAAGTGATACTTGCTGTGAGAGAGAGAGAGAGATCATACTTTAAATGGGGAAGTAATTCCATATACCTAAATGTATTCTCTTCATCTTACCTTATCAATATAACAAAATAAACAAAACTGGATGAAATACATACAAGTGAAATTTACAGAACCATTGGAAGACATAAAAMTCAAAACTCCCCAAAGAAAAAGGTGATACAATATCATCCTCTCAACACCAAACCCTTACACAAGTATGAGTTGTATATATTACACAAATGAGGGTTTTGACAATACATCTCATGTGGCTGCTTGTTACTTCAAAAGCTTTGTTCTTCTCTGTCTCAAATCATTAGGAAAAATAAACACCGAGTCCACGCACAACCCACCTTTAGAATGTGTGCAATCAATCTGCCTCATGGAGAATCTGACTTCTGTGGCAGGGGCTGAATCGTCGACAATAAACTCACCTACCTTGTACTCTTTCCAGCAACCACGCTTGCTATTGCCATTTGTGTCATCCTTTACAGATTCATCCAAACAGATAAGGCAAGATGCTTGCTGTCCATCTGATGTAGAGAGCTCAAACCGCACAGGCTTTATATCCCAACCATGGGTGTGCTCAAAATTGCAGACTCGTCGTCCCAATCTTTTTGAAAATCTTCCAAGGTGAAGCCTGAATGACAAAGCGTAGACACCAGCAGGAAAAGGGAACTTGATGATTCCATCCACTTCAAACCACCATATTTGCTGTAAGTAGGCCACCACAGGAAATCTACGACGGAAGTGGAAATATCACAGAAGCATCAGTTGATGTGTTTTAATAGAATTGGATCAAATGTAATGAAGCAGAAATAGCTGCCTGTCAATTAAATCAATGCAATCAGATCCCTAAAAAGCTAGTTGAACAGAAAACAAGGTAGCTACAAAAGGAGGTACTTAAATAATAATATTAATGGATGTCAATTTCCTTTTTCCACTAGGCAGCAGAACTTTACCAGCGAAACAAAAGTAATATACAGAGCAGAATCATCAATGCGTTTTTTTTTTTATTTACAGGGAAGGGGAGCTAAAGATACTTAACTCCCCAGAAAAGAAGTACAACTGATTTAAACACTCAGACCCTCACAATTGAGCAGAATCATCAATGCGTTGAGAACTCCCATCCACACCTTCACCCGTATTTTGGCAACGTTGCTTGCACTGAATTAAATGATAATATACTATTGATAAAAAAAATTTAAATGATAATATACATGCAATCACAACCGTCACAATTCCAATCGCTGATAATTGTGAGCCTCAAGCATCTCTTTCTGTTTCCCTTTGATCCAGATATGAACAGTACAACTCTATGATAAATGGGTTGTTAGGAACGAAATGGTAATCATCAAACACTTCAAAACCAGCAATCTCTATGATCAGTAGATTATCTAACCTTTTTAGCATAATAAACTTGCTAGGCACAAGGGTGATAACCAGTCATATATGCAACTGATTGTAACAGTTCACATGTACCTTCCACAATGATGCGCACTGACCAGTGGGCTTTTGAAAAAGGAAGATTAATCATCACATCCTCTTACTCAGCAATGAATATGACCACTACGTTCTTCAAACATTTTAAGTAGTGCACCTAATACATTATGGAATCTAATTCTGACAGTATGAGGTATTAATAACCACATGAAGCCTCCATTTCTTGGTCTTGGAAACCAGAGAGATCAAAATGTGGTTTGCCAACTGGGGTTGGGGGAAAAACAATGCAGAAAATCTCCTCAGATCATCCACTTTAGCACTACAATGACACTAGAATTGGAGGTGGTAAATCAACTCTTATTAAGAGTGTACTCTCTTCCTCCCAACACATTTTCTGTTATTATTCCTTATATCCTCTAATGTGGTTGGAAAGCTTGAAAAAAGAACAAGGGACTTTGGAGAGGAGGAATTGAAATTTAATTTGGTACACTGGAATAAGGTACCAAGGAAGAAAGGTTTCAGGTTGAAAAAAAAAAGAAAAGAAAAATGAACAGTTCAGTGTCGCCTTATTAGGAAGTGGTATTGAAGACACAGTGAGCAGCCAAATAACCCATGGAGATGGTTAACTTCAAGTATGGTGTGATCAACTAATATTTGGATCCAGGTGGAGTCAACTCATCTTATGGTTGTGCTGTTTGGAGGGGCATACAGAAAATCATATCAGGTGTTCATCAAAGGCATAAATTATGAGGTGAGAGATTGACCAAAGGTAAGATTTTGGGTGGACCCCTGGTATGATGAGCAGCCTTGGAAAGAAATCTACCGAAGCCTTTATGAGATAGCAAAAAACAAAGAAGCGCCTAGTTGCCAATGTATTCTATAGCACAGGGACTCTGGTGTTTGGAACCTCAAGTATAGGATGAGGATCCTAAATGATTGGGAAATGGGGCCACTGGCGGAGTTATAACAGAAGATCAATAATGTGAAAAGTGAAAACAGACAGAAACAGGGTGGACAAAAGGGTCTGGTTGTGGGACAAAGCTGGCAAATTTCTAGCCTACAGAATCTGGCACACGGTGGCACCCCCAGATGTGGCTTTCTTATTGTGGATGGCTCATCATCATCCAAGCCTTACCCTTATTGTGGATGGCTACACTGGGTATTCCACGCTGTGACCTGCTTAAGAGAGGTATGGTGGATAATGTAACTGAATCGTGTGTGGGGAGAGTTTAGAGACAGTGAATCATTTTTTACTACACTGCCACTTTGCAAGCAGCTTATGGAGATTATGGACACAAATGTTGGGCATTTTTGGGGTGCAAGGCTTCTTTCTAGAATCTTTGGGAGACTTCTTATGAAATTGATGGTTGAAAGGACCTAGTAAGAAGGGGAAAGTAATATGGAGGTATTACCCTTGGCACTGTATGGATCATAAGGTCAAAAGAAATGCTGAGATATTTGAAGAGACAAACTCTATAGATGCAGAAGCAAAGGTCTCATGGGGCAGAATAGACTCTGGGGTGGCAGTGCACAGATACTTCAGAAATGTCTCTTACAACATTTTTTTTATAGGAAATCACTTTTTGCAATTAATATACAATTAGAAGATGTATATTCAGACAGTTACCTATAGCATAGTATATTGTTGTGAGGGGCTAAGATGTATACTTTTCAGTTTTAATACAACACTCAACGTCTTTCAAAAATAATGGAAGATGACATTAACATGCATGCAAATTTAAACATACTGAAATTATGGTGAGAAAACTGAGACTAAAAATCCTCCATTATTCTCAAAAATTCTAGTATTCCTTTCACACCAAATATGTGAAAGAATACCACCCTTGTACAATGCAAAGGTATGCCTATTCTTGTGTGCACCTTGATCCTTATTTATAGGATACTCAAGATAAACTCTAGTGCCCTCAATAATTTCTAAACCAATGACTGACAATGGCACACATTTCTCTTTGATTCTTTTTTTTATCAGGTCAAATTCCTATTCAGCTCTTGCAAAACCATTGAATTTAAGATCTCTCAATTTCCAACACTAGAACTCTCTGGATTTTTGAATTGATAACAATTCTAATTTCCAACATTAGCGCAATTTAAAAATATGGAATTTTGACTTTGGAATTCCAACCTCTACTTCCATTTTCTCTATTGTTGTAGATATTCCTCGGAATCATCTTCAACAAGTATTAATTCTTCTTCACACAAAATGCACCAATTACATTTTCAATTCCTGAATTTCTGTTAAGTCTTCAACATGATTTTCTAGCTTGATTGCTCTTCTCTAGCAAAACTAACATTGTCATAATTCATATTTGTAACTTGGAAATCAAAGTATTCTTTACTTTCCTGATGACCCTTTTTGCTACATCATGTTTTGTCTCTCTTTGTCAATGCAATTTGCGAGCCCAAATCTTGTCCTTTAAGGCTCATTGCAATTTCAGCATGAAATCCATTGGAAGTTCTCTCAAATGCAACTTTTGGTAGTGTGTTGGGACACAAATAAAAGGAATACAAGTGTACAAGAAAAGGCCACGCCAGCCTTTAAAGAATATAACTAACAGCCAACCACTAGAACAAACTAAATAACAAACTAGACAAGTGGACTGGACAAGTGGAGAGGTTGGTACAACAGAATTAACAGCCAACCACTAGAACAAACTAAATAACAAACTAGACAAGTGGACTGGACAAGTGGAGAGGCTGGTATAACAGAATTGTAACAGCAGTATATAAATAAGGAAAGGTGGTTAGGAGGGGATTATCAATTTGGGAAATACAATCTCTCTCTCTCTCTCTCATTCAGGAGGCAGGCTCCCTCGAAAGAGTCCCTGAGTTAGGCAGTACCTAACAAGTTGGTATCAGAACCAAGATGCCAAGCACAAGGTCATCAGCAATGGAGAACAGAGTCGACAACATGGAAGGCTGACGTCAAAGAAATCAAAGAAAGCTTTGCATCCTTGCTTGAACGACCGGCACGGGCACCACCTATGCCGAATCAGGAAGAGCGTAGTGACACCAGTCATCGAAGCGGATCAAGAACAACAAGAATTGAGTTTCCCATCTTCGCAGGGGGAGATCCCACATCCTGGCTTCTGCGAACAGAAAGATACTTCGATTACCACGACACCCAAGGACCTGATCGTGTTCCATTAGCTTCTGCACACCTGGAAGGAGAGGCGATCGTCTAGTACCAGTGGTACCGGCGATTTGGAGTCTCACCGACGCCTTAACCATGTGCCCAAGGGCCACATGGGCAGACTTCACCGACGCCTTAACCATGCGATTTGGAGTCTTAGCTTTTGAGAACTATGATGAAAGCCTCGCTAAGCTACGACATACCGGCTCCGTCCAAGATTATCAGATGGCGTTCGAAAGATTGGTTGTGTGCGTGCAAGGCTGGCCAGAAAACGTGCTTGTCGGCAGTTTTGTTGGTGGACTCAGGGAAGAATTGCGGGTGGAGGTAAAAGTCATGCAGCCCACCACCGTTCTTGAAGCAGCAGCCTTAGCTCGACTACATGAAGACAAACTGAATCGGGCAAGAAGGATTAATTGACCTCTGGGAGCTACGATCAGACCAGGTATACCAAACCCAGAACCAGGTATCTTGGGTAAACCGGAGCCCAGATCAGGAGTAGGAATCACAGGCAAGGACGCCAACTCTGGTTCAGGCCCCAGCTCAGCCAAGAGGTTAACCTGGGCTGAGATGCAAGCCCGACAGGAAAAGGGCCTTTGTTATGCATGTGGAGACAAATTYGGGTCGGGCCATCGCTGTAAGATCCCTCAAGTTTTCTTCCTTCAACCTGAAACCGAATATGTCGAGCAATCAACARACATTGAAGAGCCAATGGACAACCAAGAATGGGGGCAATGGACAAAGGAATACCCGGAAGTATCCCTGCAAGCCTTGACCGGTCTTGCTTCTTCTCAAACTATGAGAGTAACCGGACTAGTACAAGGGCGCCATGTGTCGGTTCTGATAGACAGTGGCAACACCCTCAACTTCATTACCCAAACATTGGTCAGATAACTAGGGATTCCGGTCCAACCATGTACAGCCTTTCGGGTGCACATAGCTAATGGGAGCAACCTGGTGTGCGACAGTACGTGCACAGAATTAAAGATGAAGATACAAGGACATGAGTTCGAGGTAGATCTGCACCCCATGGAAATCAGTGGAGCAGATGTAGTTCTCAAAGTCTAATGGTTAAGGCAACTAGGGCCGGTGATATGTGATTGGGCCCGTCTCACCATGGATTTTCAAGTGGGCAGCTCACAGGTGCA